GCGACATTATTCACCGGAGTTGTTTTAAATTTTGTATTCAGAGCCGGCCGGACTACTGCTACTACTTACCTAAATTTTTTAATGGAATTATCTGAAACTTGGTATTTGCAGATAATTGGATGTAGGGTCCACGTCTTCGTGTAAACCCATTTAACACCATATATCACCAAATATCCGGAAGTATCGTCATATGAGGGCTATAGAAAGCTGTGAACAGAACAGTTTTGTGCATGTTTGTTCGGGATATCGTAGTATTTTGTTGTTGCAAAATCGTTTGGCTTAATCCCTTAATTGTTGTTTTTATAAAAACAACCTTTGTTTATTAGTGGAGAACGATGGTAATGTTTACCAGGCGTAAGGAAGGGAATACCTAAGTTTCGGAAAGAGTCACCAATCCTTATCAGTTTCCTTGCTTTTTGTTTGCATATTCTTCCCAGAAGTTATGTTAAAATAACTTCTATGACAAGAAAAAACTTTTTTACCCAAGTGACGAATCGTATTATAAACAATTCCGCTTAAACATGTGATTTAAATTCCTAAAATACCGAATATCTGAAGGTACGGTTATATGGGGCTATAAGAAAAGGTGAACCTATATTTCATTTGATTGGCCCAAAGACGAACCATATTGAAGTTGGTGATCCGATTTTGATTTTATTGTGCGCTAAATGTGTAATATTCAAAATACGAATACATCCGTCCAAATGGAATGTATTTCGACACGACCGACCGCATTCAGCCTAGAAACAAGTACCTCAAATGCCGAATATCGCGAGGTACCGTTATATGGGGGCTGTACCAAAACGTGGACCTATGTGGCCCATTTTCAATATTAAAAGTCAGTTTCCTTGCTTTTTGTTTGCATATTCTTCCCAGAAGTTATGTTAAAATAACTTCTATGACAAGAAAAAACTTTTTTACCCAAGTGACGAATCGTATTATAAACAATTCCGCTTAAACATGTGATTTAAATTCCTAAAATACCGAATATCTGAAGGTACGGTTATATGGGGCTATAAGAAAAGGTGAACCTATATAGACAATGCTCTGCCACATGAGGTAAACCCCATTACAAACATTTTTGCTAACACAAGATCTGTTGTGATGATGGTATATATCTGCGAACCCCTTCTGACAGACTGCTGCCATTTCTAAGCCACTCGTCCGACAGCTGTTAAAATTATTCCAGTGACAGTTCATTATATTGTTTACAAGCATACAAAAGCATTTTGGTGAGAATTTTCCAGAAAAAATGTTACTCCTGATGGAATTCAAGCGTGATAGTGTGATTTCCTCATATTTGGCTGGGAAAACCACATATGGATATCGTCGGAGCACTCCAGCATTTAAATGTGAACAAATCTTTTGTGCCTCGTACCATCGCTCATTACTCGTTGGTATCGTAGCTCAACGTCAAGGAAATGGACGGAAGAAAACAGCAACATCAGCAGAAATGATCCGAAAAGTAAAGAAGCGACTTGATCGAAACCTGCGTCGCAGGGGATGAAAAACGGCTCGTGAGCTGAACATATCGCAATATTCCTATCAACAAATATTGAAAAATTAGATCGGGGTATTCGAAATACCCCGGGGGAAATTCCAAAAAGTACAAGAACTTACACCGCAACAGAAAGAAAATAGACTCAAAAGAGCTTGACCGAAAGTGGTGAACTGCCGAATTTTGTTTTCTCCGAAGAGAAAACATTCGTTGTCCAGGAGTTTGTTAACAAACAAACTGATCGTGTTTACTTGCCAAAGAGGTCAGCTGAAAATGTGCACATTTGGCCATGGTGATGGTGTAGGCCGCCATAACAGCCGATGGTCGCTCTCCGATCGTATTAATCGACCTTGGCCGAATATGATCGCGAATATATTCTGGAGGGTGTATTAAACCCTGGGCAGGCAAACATTTTGGCCGCAGACTTTGGACATTCCAACAGGACTCCATCAGCGCCATCGCATTCAGCACGCACCACCCAAGAATGGCTACAAAAGCAGGTTCCTCGCTTCATTTCCAACGCACAATGGTAACCAAAATCTCCGGATACCAATCCGTTGGACTATTGTGTCTGGAGTATTTTGGAAAGCAAGGTTGGTACTAAAAAATACCAAAGTGATGATCACCTCAAGCAAGCGCTTCGCCGGAAATGGGTCAAAATAGCGCAGAGTAACATTCGGATAGCGTGTGACGGTTTCATTGGCTGTTTGTTAACAAACCATAAATCGTGCCAAAGGTGACCAATTCGAATAAATCTAAACTTATTCTAAAATTTGATACTATTTCCGAAATTTTTGGCTTTCATTCAATAAAATTAAAAAAATAAATGTAAAACCTATGGCGTTTGACTTTGTTGCAGGTTTTATACCCTCAACCTTGGAAAGATAAAATAAAATAAATATTCGGCGTAGACCCCATAAAGAATATATATTCATAATCAGCATTAAATTCTGAGTAGATTTAACAATATCCGTATGTCTGTCTGTCTGTTGAAATCACGATACAGCCCACGTTATTTGATTTAGAGCGTCAACATTTAGCAGAACAATTTGTATTGTGTCTAGGATGGTTGGTGGTGTCATATAATGGTACCTTCCGATATTCGGTATTTTGATGATTTTTGCCACATTTCTTCGCAGATTTGTCTAAAAATTGGTATTTGTGTGTTCTAATGGGTTCTAGCTCCGTTGGCTGAACATTGTATGTATAGGTTCACGTTTTTGTATAGCCCCATATAGCGGTACTTCCCGATATTTGATAGTTTGAAGGTTTTTTTTTTGCCACATTTTCCCACGAATATGACTAATGTTTTCCTTACCCTAACGTGGAGGTTATAAAAAGTTCGACCCGGCCGAACTAAATGTGTTTTTCTTACTTGTTTTATCTCACCCTGTATATTTCATAAATGTCTTATGTTCAAATGTCCGACTGAAAGACTCTAAAGGGCTAAGTACATAAGAAGCTTGAAGTCATGGCTAGGCATATTAATGTCAAATTATAATGGAAAACGACGGCTGGATTTTAGTGCGGCTCTGTAATCCCTTTGTGAAATGTCACAAAATATGCCTAGCCATGACTTCAAGCTTCCTTTGTACTTAGTCCTTAATCCTTTAATTGAAATATCCAGAATATCGAATGGACAATGTGAAATGTGAAAGTAAATGGAATTTGGGGTTTTGCTAACGTATGATATTCAATTATTTCATAATATTTCGCAGAAAACACCCAACTTTCAAAATCCTCTTTCAAGGTTCCACCTTCGAAATATGCTCACAACTGGCGTTACTCGAGTAGCAATAAACACAATGCAATCAATGCCAGAGTGGCCATGAAAACCAAACGATAGTCAGCAAACTGCGCACCTCACACCATCAACAATATTCTTCGAGGCAGCAAAACCACATCAGCATGAAATGATTTTAAATAAAGATAGGGAAAGTAATACACCGCACTGTTGACGAACGGAAATTTATGAATCGACTCAGAAAGTGATACTATGCGGAATCTCAAAAGTAACTATGGGGCAATCTCGTTTCCTGCTCCATTTTACAACCAAATGCACAAAGACATAATACAGGGCATCAGGTTTTTGTGTCTGTCCATGCATTTTTGTGACTAAAATGCAGGTCGCATTTACTGTCCGATTGAGATGAAATGTTCCATATTTCATTTGATTGGCCCAAAGACGAACCATATTGAAGTTGGTGATCCGATTTTGATTTTATTGTGCGCTAAATGTGTAATATTCGAAATACGAATACATCCGTCCAAATGGAATGTATTTCGACACGACCGACCGCATTCAGCCTAGAAACAAGTACCTCAAATACCGAATGTCGCGAGGTACCGTTATATGGGGGCTGTACCAAAACGTGGACCTATGTGGCCCATTTTCAATATTAAAAGTCCTGCAGACATAATATACAATTCGTTCGGAAGCTAGAGTGATTTCCGGATAGACAGACAGACGGACGGACATCGCTAAATCGACATAGCATTTTATGCTGATCGAGAAAAAAAAAAAAAAAAATATATATATATATATATATATATATATATATATATATATATATATATATATATATATATATATATATATATCTTGTGGGGTCTAAAATGTATATTTCGAGGTGTTACCAAGGAAATGGCAAACTTAATATACCCTCCATACTATGGTGGAGGATTATAAAAAAATAATACAGTACCACGTCTTCGCATGGCTCGCAAATAACTATTTTCCTTTGAGGGGTATGTTTCGACGTTTTTTTTTTTTTCATTTTTTGGAAAATTTTCAAGTTCCTTAAAAGTTCGGCCGGACTGAACGGAGCAAATTTGTTACTTGTTTAAGCTATCCTGCTTTATTTTCTGTATGATTTTAATCCCCCTCCCTTAATTATCAACTTTAATATAGATTTCCCATCAAAAAGTTCGGCCGGACTGAACGGAGCAAATTTGTTACTTGTTTAAGCTATCCTGCTTTATTTTCTGTATGATTTTAATCCCCCTCCCTTAATTGTCAACTTTAATATAGATTTCCCATCAAAAAGTTCGGCCGGACTGAACGGAGCAAATTTGTTACTTGTTTAAACTATCCTGCTTTATTTTCTGTATGATTTTAATCCACCTCCCTTCACTGTCAACTTTAATATAGATTTCCCATCAAAAATTTTGAGTTTTGCTTTTTTTCGTTCACATTTTGGTTTTAGCGATTTTTTGGGTAGCTAAAAAAATGATTTAGATAATACCACTACTGATACTTTATCGAATATTTTAATGCATTTTTGGAAAACAAGTAATTGTTCATTAAACTTTTTTTGAAGTTTTGAGTTAACTGTTTTTAATGCCGATGCATTGCAAAATGGCAAAACGTTCTACGGTACAACAAACATGTCAACAGCAACAATATGTTTCTTTTATTATTTTTCGAACTTGGAAATCGCTGTCGAAAACATTGAAGCAGTCTATTTGATTTAAATTAAAACTTTACACTTTTTGCACTTACCAACACCAATGAAAGCTCCCAAAAAAAGCAACAAGGAAACAACTTTCATTTTTATTTCTTAGGAATCACTTCAAATTAGGCGTTATAAATGTTTTCTTCGGTTTAATTATTTATTTGTATTTTTTTTATTATTATTTTTTGTTTTTTTTTTTTTTTCAATAGCTCGCAATATTCACATGGAAGTAACACCACAAAAATTATTCAAATATTTGCTTTCGCTTTGCTAATTTATTAATAATAAACCGACAATTAGTGTGCAATGACACACGACCTGCTTAATGAGTTCATATAAACGGTATGATGGTCTCACAACAATGGCCCTATCAAAAAACCTATGAAACCGACCGATTTTACTCGGCTATGAACACATCAGTCGTGCCGGGCATAACTGCGGTCAGCTTCCGAACGTTTAACAAATGCAACAGTCCTTTCATAGAATGAGGAGAGTGCCACTACCCACTCTCCTCATTCTATGAAAGAAAAGAAAACTATCGTGATAAAAGGTATACAAAGTTGATCAGGCTGTTTGTAATTGATTAACAAAGGTAGTAAAGCATGGTAGATGCATCAACGCTTGGAAGCATTGATGGGTCAAAGGGTTTAAAAGATTTTTCAAAAAGAAGTTAAATGGAATCAGTCGGTATTGACGACAGCAGCATAACCTCAGTCATTGTTCGGTTATTTTAATTTATGTTGACTTGCGTTAGGAGTGGTTCCAAAGGAGTGGTCTAATATTCTCCATTTCGTATCTGATTTACATACAGGGTGAGATGAAAAAACTGCAACCAACTTCAGACTACTGTCTTTTCTAAGCTTTTTCTTGTCCGACAGCTGTTAAAATTATTTCAGTGACAGCTCATATATATGGGAAATAAACATATATATGGGTGTAATGGCTATATCTTAATAGACTTTCGCGACTTCTGGCATAAATTCGGTTCTTAATCGTTTGTAGTTCTAGAGGGTGACCCAACTAGAAAGAAATTTTTATAACATACACCTTGAAAAGGAGGATATATTAACTTTGTCATTCCGTTTGTAATATCCCGGTAACTCCGGTGACGGAGCATTGCATATATAGGTCCACATTTTGTTGTAGCCATATAACGGCACCTCCCGATATTCGGTAGTTTAATGATTTTTGCCACATTTTTCACAAATTTGTCTAAAAATTGGTATTTGTGGGTAAAAAGGGTTCTAGCTCCGGTGGCGGAACATTGTATGTATAGGTCAACGTTTTCGTATAGCCGCTATATAACATTACCTCCAGATATTCGGTAGTTTGATGAATTTTGCCACATTTTTCCACGGATTTCACTAAAAATTGTTATTTAAAGGTCATAGTGGGATCTAGCTCCGGTCGCGGAACATTGTATGTATAGGAGCCCGTTTTTCGTATAGCTCTCATAAAAACGGTACCTCCCGATATTCGGTCGTTTTATGATTTTTGCCACTTTTTTCAACGGATTTGTCTAAAAATTGGTATTCAAATTTCATAGTGGGTTCTAGCTCCGGTGGCGGAACATTGCATGTATATGTCCGCGTTTTCGTATAGTCCCCATATAATCGTATATCCCGATTTCTGGTATTTTGATCATTTTTGCCACAATTTATGCCTCGAAATTGGTATTTGTAGGTCATAGTGGGATCTAGCTCCGGTGGCGGAACATTGTATGTATATGTCAACAATTTCTTGTAGCCCCTATATTCGGTATAATGAATTATGCCACATTTTTCAACGGATTTGTCTTAAAATTGGTATTTGAAGGTCATAGTGGGTTCTAGCTCCGGTGGCGTAACATTTTATGAAGTGGTCCACGTTCTCGTATAGCCAACATATAACGGTACCTCCCGATATTCGGTAGTTTGATGATTTTTGCAACGATTTTCCACGGATTTATCTAAAAATTGTTTTTGGGTCATAATGGGTTCTAGCTCTGGTGGCAAAACATTGAATATCTAGGTCCATGTTTCCTGAAGTGGACCGTTATTGTTCATTTTCGCACCTAACCGATCGCTGAGGCAAATATTTGGTTTTGCAAAGTGGGAACAAAATCTTTTCTCTTTCTGTGCAGTAAAATATTTTTTTGAGGGAGGTACCAGAAGGAGCGGACCAATATTGCCCATCTCCGAACTCGACCTAAATTTGATAATAACATTACGATGTACCAGATTTGGACCAAATCGGATACTCCCTTCGAAAGTTATCATGCGCATAAAACTGTCTATAAAGGTCCAAGTTTCCATGAAACTTTATCTCCAAATATTCGATATTTTGTATCACGGTTTTCATCGGAATTTTTTCAAATTTAGCATTTGTAGTTCGCATCGGAAACTATATTCTATGACAGAAAATTGTCTATTTAGCTACGCAATTTAGTTTAGCCCCAATTCTTTCGGTTGTTTGCAATTGTATTGGGAAGGATTTTACGAAAGACAGAGCTTTAAGTTCGACGGGGCCAACTTTTTTATATAGTTAAAATACCAAAATAACCCGAAAACATCTCATTTGTTTAGAAATGACAGAAATTCTGAGAATGCCAAAAAAACAATCAGGAGTAACCGTAATATGGTGTCTTTATCAATGAATCGAAAATTTTTCGCAAGGAGAAAACAGACCTACCAATAACCCCAAATGTACCTAGAACCCCAAATATCGAAAAGCAGGAGGTACATTTATATGTGGCTATACCAACCGGACCTGTAGCGAATATTTTTTGGAGAGAGAAAGAATAGACCTACCTAGAACCCCAAATGTAAAGTTTCAGCTGATTTGGTTGGAAATTGTATCTGAAATCTTCAAAATACCTAAAATCGGGACTTACCGTTATATGGTGGCTATTGCTAAACATGGACCAATATTGTCCATTTACTACAACGATTGTAATCTATTGCGAGTCTTAAATACCAAATTGTTCATAATTTCGTGGGTAAATGTGACTAGGATGACTAAGACCAATAAGGACAGTGTTTTGTCGCTCGCTGTAGAAGTTGAAATACCAAATCTCACACAAATCTGTTAGAAAATGTGTCAAAATACCGAATATCCGATCTAACCATTTTATGTGCGCTATGGGAAATCGTGGACCTCAATGTTCTGCCAACGGAGCTAGAGTCCATTACGAACTACAAATAACAATTTTTAGACAAATGCGTAGAAAAATGTGGGTAAAACAATCAACATACCGAATATCGGGAGGTACCGAAAACGTGCACCTATATGTACAATGTTCCTCCATCGCAGCTAGTACCCATAATGAACTACAAATATTAAATTTTTAGACAAATCCGTTGAAATAGGTAACAAAAGTCATCAAAATGCCGAATATCGGAAGGTACCGTTATATGGGGGGCTATACGAAAACGTGGACCTATATGTACAATGCTCCGCCACAAGAGCTACAACTCAAAACAAATTACAAATACCAATTTGTAGACAAATTGGTGGAAATATGTGGCTAAAACTATCAAAATACCGAATAACGGGAGGAGGCTATGCGAAAACGTGTACCGATATATCTAATTTTCAATGCCAACCTTCCTAGACACAGTGCAAACTATTGTTCCGAAATTTAAAAGTTCTACATCAAATAATGTGAGCTGTATCAGCTGTATCAAAAGACAGATGGACAGTTGGACATCGTTCAATCGACTTAGAATTTAGAATCGAATATATGTGCTTTATGGGGTCCCAGAAGAATATTTTGGGGTGTTACAAACGGAATGACAAATTTAATATACCCTCCCATCCAAGGTGGAGGGTATAATTAAGTAATTGGAGCCCGTGGCCTGAATTTTACAAATTACCATACGAAATTACAATCAATGGAGAGAAGAAGGGCAATAAACCTGTTGATGTTTATGCAGGTTTTGTTATTGAATGAGAGTCATATCTCCGCTCACAATTTCACAAATTAGAAGAATATTATATTACACAATTTTACAGCGGTAATTTTTAAATATTGAATCCGTACCTAATTTTATATTTCTAAAAATGTCTATTGCTTCACAATAATAGCACACACACACACACGCACGCGCAAACTCAGTTGAACAGTAATTGGCGAACGCATTGTTTCCCCAACGACACGACAACAATTACGCATTCATTTCCTCCACATGGTGTATGCCTGAAATTCGTCTCAAAAAGAGAGGGAAACTCATTCCATTCATTTTATTTTTGCTTGTTCGCAACAAGAAAAAATTCCGCAGACAAGTTGCTCAAAATTCGGACCTATGTCCGTCCGACCTATGTCCGGATAGAACTTCAGACTTTGAGGAGACGTGTCGTACGTTCGACATTTGGTTCGCTGGGAATTCAAGTCGGCCATGCCACATTCGAACCCAAAGCAATGACATACATGAATCAAAATGGGCGATGGTGTTGTGTGTCAATGCCAATCAAATTTTTTGCACATGATAGAATAGGCAAAGTCACTGTGTCGGAAAAAACACCGTTCATACAATTCGTCTTGTACTACTCAAATTCCGAATTTGAAATGGTTTTAAAGAAATGTGTTGCTAAAATCACCATAATGCCAAATATAGGGTGGTACGGTTTATTATACCCTAAAAATCGAAAAATGCAATAATTATATCCTCCAACTTGGAAAGGAGGGTATATTAACTTTGTCATTCCGTTTGTAACATCCCTAAATATTCATGGTAGACCTCATAAAGTATATATATTCATAAGCAGCATAAAATTCTAAGTCGATTTAACTATCTCCGTCTGTATGTTTGTCTATTGGTCTGTCTGTCCATCTGTCTGTTGAAATCACGATACAGCCCTCATTATTTGACGTAGAGCAGAACCGATCATGATAATATTTGAGCCACTTATTTCTGATCTGTATATAAAAAGTGATTCTGTGAAGATCCTAAAACGTAACTATGGATCTACCTCGCTTCCTTATTAATGCTAAAAGTATTGGAACCAAACAAATTATTTATTTGGACATATTCTTAAGAAGCGCTATACAAAACAAAAATGTCCAACCGACCGACTGCAGGTTGCACATAAATCCAAAATGTCTAAAAATATTTTCAAAACTCTCCGCTACACTTATTATATATATGTACAATAAAATATATAAATACAGCAACAGTACTAATTTAATGAACAGACACTGTGTAATAATACAGTAGCGGGTGATTGTGCATTAAGAACGGACAACCCAGCGAACCAAATATCGGACATCCGACGCATCTGCTCAAAGTCTGAAGTTTTGTCCGACTCGTCTGACCAACGTAAGTCTGAATTCTGAGCAATTTGTCTGAGGTATTTTCTTATACCCTCCACCATTCTATGGAGGGTATATTAACTTTGTCATTCCGTTTGTAACTCCTCGAAATACTCATGTCAGACCCAACAACGTATATATATTCTTGATCAGCGTAAAATTCTAAGACGATTTAGCCATGTCCTTCTGTTGTAATCACGCTATCTTTCGAACGAATTGAGATAGAAGG